GCAACACAAAACACAGCTACATCATTATTTGCAACAAATGTTAACTCTAAATAAGTGCAACCTGTCCCACAAACACTTGCTATAAACGACTTAAAAATAAAAGTAAAATTTGATGGGGTAAACACAGAAATAAAAAAAAAATTCTCTGTGAGAATTTTTTTTGTTAAAAAAAAATTAAAATAAAAATCTCAGCACTCATTTAGAGTTCAGGATCTTGTGAAAGAAAGCTTTAAAAGGAGCAAACCTGATTTGCTGTGGCTGTTGCGGCGAAGGGAACACTTGTTGCAGGAGTTGTTGCTGCAGAGACAGTGGCGGCCGTAGCGTTGTGCATCATGGGTACTTTCAGGAGGGGAACCATGGAAGCAATGAACAGGAGGGTGCAGCATTATGGTAAGAGAAGTGGTATTTTTGGCATGGTGAATATCAAGAGCGGCAAGCCATCATCATGGGTTAAACCGGCAGATGGCATGCAATCACAGTGCAAAGCGAGAAAGCATGGCGGAGAAATAAAAAAAAAGGGAAAATAGCTTATTACAAGTACAATTAAAGGAAGGTTGTCAACACAATCGGCGATTCCCAGAAAAAAAGGAGTAAGGACCACTGAAAATGCCAGTGTTGTCTCCAAGAAGAAGATTACTTGTGCAAATGAGGCCTTTACCAAAATAGCCTGTTACCTGCGGATTGTTACATGCGTAATTTGTTTTCCCCCAGTACACCTACAAAGCAATTCAAAATAAAATCCTACTAAAAAAAACCCCAGTGGTTTGCACTGGGAAGAAAACTATTAAATGTTCATCTTAATTTTTAAACACAATTAAAAATAAATCATTTTCATGTATCTTCATTTCGAAGTAAGCTAGATACTCGCTATCTTCCTTATTTATGCATTTTTTCCTACTAGCACTGCATAACTGTTCGACTTTATCAGAGTTAAATTACCATCTGCTTGAGGCAAAAATCAGGAGAGGGATGATAATAATTATCCTGATATATATACACTACTTTGTTTGATCTAAAAAAGCAAGATCGATTTTGTGAAAGACACTGCTTTTGCTCATTTTAAGAATGAATTTTAATCAGCATCTTCATGGGGGAATTATTAATTTGACGTTTTAAAGGCTTGATATTTTAACTGTTTATGTGAGTAGGCCCAAAACCCAAAAATAAAATCACTTTAGATAGAGCAATAGAAGAAAGATTACTTTTCTGTTCAGAGGCTGTTGCATTGTACTTCCACTTTGCATGCCCAAAATGTTAATTTCAAGCTGCAAATATATTTAAAGGAGTGAGATTCAGATCACGAGTTTCAGCAGAACCTCTGTGGATCAAAGTGGGCATTTCTGGGAAACGCTGATAAAACTTTCTAACACACAGCAAAGGAGAAATAGGCACACCACTATGAAACTTTAAAACACTGATGAAATTTGCTGGCTTTTTCCAGTATTTTATGATTTTATAGTACTAGACAATATAAAATATAAAGAGAAATAAAACTTTGAAAACTGAAAAGCAGACTGGAATTCATGGTATTATGCTTTTGCAGCGTAGTTGTTATAGCAGGTGATATCATGTCTAAACTGCGGCTTTCATCTACAAATCTAAACACTCTGCAAAGTCAACCAGAAGGACAAGCGAACCTTTAATTCTAGTCAGTGGCTACATCTCACCTAGGATTTTTGAAACAAGTGAATATACATCATATACAGTATAAAAAGAGAGATCAATAAAGAAATTTGGAACCTACCAATACTGGTAGCGGGTGTCATGCACAAAACTGACCCTGCGTGTCATGCAATGATAGGTGAAAAAAGTGGATAAAGGGAAGAAACAGGTTAGCTGTTTAGAGTTAACATTCAAAGTGAGATTCAAGCATAACCACAGAGAAGTAAGTTAGTTAAATGAAACTGTAAGGTCATTCACAGTTTTGCTTTAACACAAAAAGGTGATTGTGCTCTTACTAAACTCCTGTATATACTGTTTGGGTTTTGGCATGTTTCTGTACATATTCAAGATACTTCACAAACTTTTTTACTTATTAATGTTATCCTTTCACGTAGTGCTTTTGCAGCAACAGGTTTTTGTTTATAGAAGCATCTGTGGTTAAAGATCACAGTGTTTGGGACTTTTAGAACTCATTGCATAATTCAGACAGCTCAATGTTGTGCAGATGAACTTTCACCAATTTTTGGCCTTTTGGCTGGAAAAGAAAGTGGAATTAAGACAATATTCTACTGCAAAGGTTTTGCCAAATTTATGTTTGATGTTAATGTACTCATTCTTAACATAATGAAAACAGTACTTTGACAAGTCCCATGCTAAACACCTCAAAGTGTGTAACATTCCAGCAGAAAGCTCCCAGCGCACCTCAGAGGTGCTGTGGGATGACTGCTCACCTGCCATGCAATTTAGCTTTGGTGCCTAGCCCACCTTTAACCTTTCTGGAAAGGCCAAATGAAAGAAAGAGATCAGCCTATTTCCAGTACAGTGCATACAGCAAGCTGGTGAAGGCAAGCAGATAAGGAGACGAGTGCCAGGTTCGTGCATATTTGACACAGAGTCGAATATGCTTCCTGTGCTCCTGCTGAATGACTACTGCAGCCTCGCATCAGACCATTGCAGGACTTGTGTGACTATGAATGACCTTACCCAAGAACAGTCCCCAGAGAATACACAAAGTTCCTCCTCCAGAGGCTATAGAAACACTAACAAACAGCAATGGGAAGAGAGAAAAGATCTGCTGTTTTTAAGATTGTTCACCAAACAATAAGGAGAAGGTGACAAAGCAATCAAACTGATGTAAAACAAACAAAGTGCAGAACTTCAGAGGTAAGCCATGCTAAGTCAAGCCCCACACTTTTTATTAGGGGAGCCAGTGGTTAATAAAGCAGAGAAGTTATATAAAACAATTAAGTTTTATATATATTCCAGCAGCAAAACTTGTCTTAAAATTTAACACACACGCACACACACACAAGGAACACATTTGAAAATTATACCAGTTTAGAAAATATCACATAATCATTTAAAATCCAACAGATAATGTCATGCATTGCTCCTCAGACGTGGGTTGCATGACAGTCCTTACACCCACCAAATCCAACCTTCCCTGGAAGTGTGGGAATATCAGATGTATCATCTTTATTGGAAAGCTCATGACACCCATTCTTATAGAGGGCGTTCCCCTTTCCTGAACTCCTCCCATATCCCACTCCTCTCTTTAATATCCTTCCTTGGAGCTGATGGTGTTTGAAAAGAACAGGAGGTTGATCACTTTAAGAAAGGTTTTCTACTCTGGGGGCTTGGGTTCCATCCGCTACGTTATACCTCTGTTTCTTCTTTTTTTTTTCATGCACTTGTTTTGGGGCTTGAGAACAACCTGGCCCTTAAGGTTTGGGTTTAAGATCCACCCTTCCTACCACTAGAAATTTGTCAGCTAAAACTAGAATTGCAACAATTACTTGGAAAGAGGGATGGACAATAAAAAGTACAAAAAGTGAGCATGAACTTAAGCATGAACATTCCAAAAGTCTGGAAAAATATCCAAACGCTTTTTCACTGAAAAAGGTTTAAACTACTGTATTTTCCATAGTTAATTTGAAGTCCTTGTCAATTACAAATAAGAACAGTAAGCCCTGAAAGGGAGTGCCTAAGAAGGAAAAATACCTATCATGCTATAAATTCTCATAGTTTCAATGTAAAATAAATTAGTGGAAATTTCTGTATGTTCTGTAAGCACAGGGCAGTCTTCCATTCATGTCCAAATAGGCGGTCTCACAATTTATTTATTTTTTTTCAAACACTCCCATAAATGTCAGTGTATTTTCTGCCACACATATTCTGGTGCACCAATGTGCTAAAAATAAGGCTATGCTATTACTTACTATTACAAATACGGGGGCAGGCTCCAAGGTTGTTACTGAGGCCTTATAGAAAAATTCCATGAAGTCAAAGACATCTGTGTTTGTTTTTTATCTTTAAAAACATATGGGAATGCTGATAGATTGGGAAATCATCATGTGTTGCCTTTCATTCCTTGTTTAACCGATATTATTTCTATAAACTAAAATAACATTGCTGAAATATCAAGCACATTTGCAAACACGTAGTTTTAAACTATTCTGAAGTTCACACTTGAGAACACCCTGACACTAAAATACGTAATTTGTAAATTAGGAACGAAGTCGCAGAATTCCTTAGGAGGGATGTTCTGCTTTGGGAAGTTGGAGTGGGGGTGACTGACACAATTTAGAGGGTTGTGTTGTTACTGCTTACACGAGCACCCAGCATATCCCTTCTCTCACAGTGTTAAAGAGAAGCCCTGCCACCAGCCAGGGTGCAGGTCAAGCAATTTCTGAACGCTCTGACTTTCACAGAGCTCTGAGCAATGAAATGTAAATTACATTCACTCATCTTCAGATCATCCCTATGAAGAATTATAACCCCAGCTATGAGCCACAAATGCTAGTGGAAAAGTTCTGGTGGTGCTCCAAACCCACAAAAATGCAGCTGATGCCTAAAAGCCCTTTAGTGCAGCTGCAGGGAGCGATGTGTTTTGCCAGTGCTTCCATGAAGGTATTGACTGGAAGTTTATTGCTGGCGTTCCCCTTCTCAGGGTGCTTGTGCGGGGCTGGGGAAATCCCCACAGCTGCAAGACAGCAGCTGAGGGAGCAGGAGGATGCTGTGGCATCTCTGAAGCGCGATGTTTTTTTCAGCATTTTTGTTGGTGGAAACAGATACATGTTAAAATCCATCCAATTTATAGTAGGCAAAAAGGGGCAAACTCTGGAGAATGATGAGCAAGGCTATGAATTAACGGCATGTTGAAATTTCTGCTTGAATTCTTGTCCTTTGCAAGAGGAATTAAAATAATGTGCAATCATCTGTGCAGACTTCAGCTCAAGTGGGGCAGGGAGCATAATAAAACCTTCTGTTAAGTGCAACTGCCTGACACAGAGGCTACCTCAGGGACACAAAACCAGTTCAATGTGGATACAACATACCTGTTGGGATAAACGCTGCATGCTGCTGCAACTGAGCATTGGCAAGAGCCTGTTGATAGTGCAAGACACTGGGATTGAAAACGGCACTGGCACCATTGCTTTTTTCAAGTGCTTGTCTCTTTGGTAAAGGGTGAAGAACACCAGGAGGAAAGGCCTGCAAATAATAAAGTTAGTTAAAATGGCGCCATTTTTAAGACTTTGTCCGCAACATATACGTAAATACAAAAATTTAGTATTTTTTAAAGCGGCTAAAGATGCCTCGCCATGCATATTAACTCAAAGCACAGCAATGTAAAATGAGTGAAATTTTGTTATTGGTAGCAAAAGCATGGTACTATTAACCTAGAACTGTAGCAGCACAACTACTGAAAAGAAACGTTTGCTTTAAAGCAACGAAAATGGCATTGCCTTTAAGTAGGTTTTCAAATATTACAGGGAGAAAAAACCACTTGTGTTTCATTGCCAAGTATTTTCATTTATTTTTAAATTTAAATATCATTTCCTATTATTATACAGATTAATGGATTACTTTATGCGTTTTCAATTACAAAAGCAGTTTTATCTCAATTTGACTTTTCATGAGAGATTTAAAAAAGATGAAACTGTGTTAGGAACCAAACTAAATCGTCTGCGGTCTATTACGTATGAGAATGAGATGGATAAATAGAGCTTCCGGTAAATTAACGAGTATGTGAAATCATTTCCGGTTGATGTTTGAAAAGTAAAGCGATACAAATTTCATTAGTTGCTTCTCTGAAGGAAAAAAAAAAAAATTAAAAAAAAAAAAAAAAAAAAAAAAAAAGGAAAAAAAAAAGCTACATGCAAAGCAAAAGGTGAAAGGTCAAAGTACCAGGTCTACAGTTGCTTCGAGAGGTCGCTTCATTGCTTTGGCAGTCGACTGAGTCTTTTAATAACAGGCAGCGAGCACATGATGGCAGTGGGCCAATGGGAGTCAAGCGAATTAACATACAGGTAAACAGCAAGCAGAGGTGCGTCATGGGAACGGCATTGCATTTGTGGATAGGTGAGAAGGAAAAAAATATTCTGAATGCAATATACAACATACAAAACACTAGGCATGCACAACAACAAAAATGTCTTCTAAAGAAATGAATATTACATTTTGAATTAGTACCGAAGCAAAAATGCATCTACTATACCTTAGTTAAAAGCATATAAGAGAGTAAAATATAGATGTTTGAAATTCAGGAAAGTTGAGTAAAACAGCAGCTTGCAGACACTATTAAGCATCATATAAACACTTCACAGAGATGCAGAAAGTTCTAAGGATACACCTACTGGAATTCCTGATAAGTTAGTTCGGTCACATTTTGAAGCGAGAAAATTGATTTGGGAGGCTACATTTGCAAATACAAAACACTAGTGAAAGGTGTAATGCATTAAAAATGCTATTAATGTCAGTGCTTACAAGGTGAGTGTCGCTTAATTTAGAGAAGTGAATCATTCGATGGTCAAAATGAGAAAGGTTCTCCATTGCCAATACAAAATAGAGTATGTAGTATGTCCAGTTACACCAACTTATCATTAATTCCTTTTCTTTTCTCCTACAGCTGGGTCATTTTTGCAGTTTTTAAAAAATCTTGTAACTTACCACATTACATTGAGAGGGAAAAAGGTCTTTTAGATTGAAAATATACTTTCTAAATATTGCTACAACCTTCAGTACTAGCTTCAGGAGCAGGGAGTAAAACTGGGCTCCCAGTTCATAAGCCAACATTAATATATGAGTTATGATACTAGTCCAGCATTATTAATTTTTCAAAAGAAAGTATTTAGGCAATAGTACATAGGCATATACATTTATGCATTCTTTCAAACTTATGGCTGCATTCTGTAAAAAAATTTCTCATATAAAATATTATTTTCAAGTTTTATAGTGTAAATAATTCTTACAAACCTTTAGAAAGGAAAGAAAAATTTACGTAGAAATTGAAATTTTTACTTTTGTTTTTTAAACACAGGCTGATATTCAGCTCTTTTTAGAATATGCAGATTATGTCTACCTTGAAATCAGTATGTGGAAATAGGGAACAAAAGCTGAAATAGACGAAGACGACAAGGCACAAAATACCTGCAAACTATCTTGTGGTCATAAGTTTATCAGATGCCAACAGGGTATTCTGCAGGACAGTCCTCATTTTACTTTTTCCTTGTTCCTGTCTACGAGCCTTCTCAACACCTCCCTCATCTCTTCATTAGCACTTTTCTGGATTACATACCCTGATCTACAGGATCTGCTCATCTCTCTGGGCCCAAGAGCCAGACACAACAAGAAACACCCAGTCTTGAAGTGGGGATCTGGACAGACTTCTGCCTGAGCAGGGCACGGTGCAGGTACCACTGCAGAGAACATCACTGCCTGGGGCACAGCCTCAGAGCCACTCTGCCTCCACCACAGAGGGAAGTCTACACAGAGGTGATGCAGTACAACTGAATTCAGCATCATGCGATGATGAAGCCCACAAGTTCAAATCAACATCGCTAAGAGTGAAGTGTTTCAGTTAATTACCTTTATTATACAAATACAGATCTTATCTAATCTCACTTGGTAACTTATTATCTCTCTGTTTATTATTGCCTTTCTGCAATTCTTCTCCATGCTCTACATCACCTCTCTACTTTGAAGCTTTCTTCTGGCTTTCCCCTCATATTCTTCAGCAAGTTCAGTCTCAGCCTTCCCAACTCGAAGGCTTGATCTGTTCCTAAACATACTCATCAACCTTGGTTCCATATAGTCTCACATTCTTTTCAGGCCTTGAAACTGCTAATTTTGCTCTCCTACATTAATATTTTCTTTTATTTCATCCTGAAAACTTCCTTTGCCTCTTTCTGTTCCATCAGATTATCTTCTTCTCCTCAATATTTGATCGACATAACAACCAACGAATCAATAGCTACAGGCTGGAGAGGAAGAGGATACAAAAAGGAAATAAAGATAAAATTAAAAATGATCAAACATTCAAGGCATGGTATTGGCCTGCCATATCGCACATTGGTATTGGCTATAATATCTCCTGAATACAAACAAGATCCACACAGCAGTGGCCTCCATGAATGTGCAAGGAGCCTCTGACTAAACTAAAAGGAAAGAAGGAAAGCTCACAAGAGGTGGGAGCAGGGACAGATGGCTCAGGAAGAACAGGGACACAGCCTGAACACGCAGGGATATGTTAGGAGAGTCAAAGATCACCTGGAGTTCAATCTGGCAAGGGATGTGAAAGACAACCAGAAGGGCTTCTCAGCAACAAAAGGAAGACTAGAGAAAATGTGTTTCCACTGCTGAATGGGGCAGGCAACCTGGTGACACAGGACATGGAGAAAGCTGAGGTTCTGAAAATCCTTTCCATCTCAGTCTTTACTAGCAAGACTGGCCTTCAGGCCAGTGGGAGACCAGTGGCAAAGTCTGAAGTGAAAAAGATTTTCCCTTGGAGGAGGATGATCAGGCTAGGGAACATTTAAACAAGCTGTATGTACACAAACCCATAGGAACTAACAGAATGCACCTCGGGTGCTGAGTGAGCTGGCCAATATCACTGCAAGGTTACCCTTAATTATCTTTGAAAGATTCCTGTGACTGGGGGAAATTCCCAAAGACCATAAGAAAGTAAATTACACTCCTATCCTCAAAAAGGACAGGGAGGGAGGTCTGAGGACTGACAAGTTGGTCAGTCTCACCTCAGTTCCTGGGAAAGCAATTGAGCAAATCCTCCTGCAAACCATCTGCAAACACATGAAAGCCAAGACAATGATGGGAAGTAGTCAGCATAGATTTATGACAGGGAAATTGTGCTTAACCAGCCTGACATCCTTCTATGATGAGACTGGAAGGGTGGTGAAAGGATGTTGTTTCTCTTGATTTCAGAAAGGATTTCAACACCATTTCATTTTCACAGACAAAATTATTTATCATGGGCTAAATGGGAAACAGGGAGGTGGACTGACAATTGTCTCACATGCCAGCCTCAAAGGGATGTGACCAGCAACACAAAGCCCAGCTGGAGGCCAGTCACCAGTGCTGTGAAACTTGGAGGAGTGTTGATACACAAGATAGACGTGCTACTGCTCAGAGGGGCTAGAAAATCTGGAGAAACGGGCACAGAGGAACTTCACTAAGTCCGACAAAGAGAAATATTAAGACCTGCACCTGGGGAGGAACATCACAAGGCACCAGTACATGCTGGGGGACCACAAAGGCTTGTCAGAAAAGACCCTTAAGATCCTAGTGGATAACAAGCCAGCAATGTGGCTTCATAAGCAAAAGTAGCTGATGGCTCACTGGGCTGCATTGGGAAGAGTATCACCAACAGGTGGAGGGAGGTGATTCTTCCCCTCTACTCAGCCCTGGCGAGGCCAAATACGGAGCACTCTGTCCAGGTCTGGGCACCTCACTACAAGAAAGACACAGGTGTACTAGAAAACACTCCAATAAAGGACCTGAAAGATGATCAAGGAGCTGGATTCAGCCTGGAGAAGGTACAGGGGAATCTCATCAGTGTATACAAACACCTGATTTCAGGGTAAAGATGGAGCCAGTGGTGCCCAGGGACGAAAGAAGAGGCAATGGAAACAAATTTATATAAAAGAAATTCAATTTAAATATAAGATTAAAAAAACCCAAAAAAACTTCTCTTTTTACTGGAAGTATGGAGCAGGTTTTCAAGTTATGGAGTTTAGATTCTTAGAGACTTTAGTAAAGCAAACAGGCACATCCTGGGCAATCTCCTCTAGCTCCCTGGCTCAAGAAAGGGATACAGGCTGGAATATTTTGTACGTATTTCCCTGCAAAATGTTACCCTGAATTATGGGTCCCCGTTGCCTTCTCTTGTGACATTAGACTGCTAACATTTCAATTTTGTGTTTCCAAAGATGCTTCATCTTGCTTTGAGGCTAATGCAACTCTAATTAAGCCTTATTTAAAACCACAGGATATATATCTGCTACCATTACTGAAGTGCGGAAAAAATTAATCCCCTCATCTCTCTCCTTTCTTATTCAGTATAGTTTCTAGAAATACGACATTCTCTAAATGTACAATAAATATTGCACAACAGAAGCTAATCAGAATAAAAACCCAATCTTCTCTGCTTTAATTTCCAGATGGTATTCAATTTCTGCAAGCACAGGAAACTTTAACTAAAAATCATCCAATTTGAAACAAAGGCTGTGGATACTATTAGAGAAAGAATATTAAAACTTGAGAAATACTCTTCTGTTTCATGGTTTATTTTCTTGCATAACTTACCCTTTGTCCCTCAAAAAATTTTTTTCTAATTTGTTAAATACAATAGCTTGGGGTAGTTATGTACTGTACTGTATTGTGTTTCTGGTAGGCTTTTTAACCAGAGAATAACTGTATTGTTTTTAACTATTGTATGCACTGCCTACAAGTCCACAAACCACATCTGCTTAATTATTCGTCCACTGCCAGCAATGAGGACAATGATTCTTTGATTTGCTGACAGAAGTTTTGTCTCTCAAGTCAGATCCTGCATATTCAATTTATTTAACTTTATCACTACCACTGCAAATTCATCAGCTTTCCCGGTAGCAACTGTAAGAGGAATCCAATCCTGGTGAAGGGGTGGGCTGTCTTGTCTGAACAGTTTTAAGTAAGAGGTTAAAAGATCTGAAAATAAAAGTTCTCACTCTTTTCTTCTGACTGTAGCCACAATGTTTCCTTCCTAAGGATTCCCATTACAGTTGACTACCTTAAAACTTCATGATTCAAGGAACTGGCCTATAATAGTGGGAGAGGCAAGAAGTCTCTACGTGTGAAATGCCATCTAATCAAAGTTAAAAAAAATACAGGCAACACTTTTTAGTCATTTGGGATAGCTGTAGATCTACAGAGGGAAGTTCTTTCTCATCCTCAGGCAGGCACTAATGGTAGATCAGATGAATGTCCTAGCTTTTCTACACTACCAGTACAGTGAGACCAAAGTTGCTGGCTAATTGCCTCATTTCTAAGGTGGACTGTGCTGAATCTCAGTGCAGGTTTCTGCTCTACTACTGATCTCTGGAGCAAGCGCCCTCTCTTTGCTTTTCTTCCAAATTTCCACATGTGTATCTGCCATCAAAGAGCTATAACAGCATATGTGTCCCTGTTTTCCTGGGAACACTGAAGCTTATCAGTTTTGTTTCTGTTTGGAAATACTAGGGGCAAATTTGCATATAATTAAGGCAGAGAACAGAAGTGGTATAGAGTGTCATTTGCTTCACTGTCTTGAATAGAAATACAGCATTAAAACAAGGGCATAAAGAAAAGAAAGTGCTTCCTCCCATCAAGCAATAGTAATAATTTTATAAATTCTTATCTTTCACCAAAATTAAAAAAAAAAAAAAGTTTAAAAAAAGGAGGCAAAAGAGAAAAGAAAGTATAAGCAAACAGCATTAAATTGAAGCAAAATAGGCATTAAAAAAAAGGCAGCCATACATGCCAGCACTTACCATCACAGTCGCAGCTGCCGCAGCTGCCTGGGCTGCCACTGCAGCCTGGTTGGCTTGGTGTTGCGCCGCTTTGATTTTGGCCTGCAAATGTGCAGGAGGGTGAAAATACTTGCATTTCTCCCTCATGCAACGACCTTTTATGTAATCCATACACACGGTTACGGTGTTGTCGTTAGTGTCAATCATTGTGCTGTCTGCCGGATGCGCAAAGCGGCAATCAGTCTCTCCACGCGCACAGTTCCCCCGCTGGAACTCCCTGCACACCTACGTGCAAAACAACACACGTTGCAGGGCCACAGCTCGGCGCAACGTGAAAGGGCAAGGAGTGTCCCACGCCCCCAAAAGACAGACCTGCCCCCTTCCCCATGTCAGCTCAAGTTTTACAGCAACTTCAGTTTAATAAACCCTTCATCTTTTGGTGGGTGAGGGCAGCGCACCTACTTTACCCTTATGTTCTTGGCTCCTCAGGTAGATCTCTGGTACTGTGGCTAAATAAACTTAACATGCAACAGAAGCATTCCCAAACGCCTTTCCTTTTTCCTGTTTAGAAAGCAGCTGGGAAGGATACTTACTCACGTAACTGCTCCTGAAAAACTAGCTGGGAATCACAAAATATTTTGTCTCTTTCTGACTACACTTTGTATTCTTGCAGGTTGACTGGTAGGGAAGGAGTTCCTCTTGCTGAAACCCAGGGAAAATACACATCAGATTCACTGTATTTTTATGGAGTCTACAAACAAAATTGAGAGCCTACTTAAAAATAATTTTCAAAAATGGGCAGAATGAACACACTGATTTTCCTAAGAAGAAATGCACTCTAGACACAGGTGCTTAGGTTTTTGGGAAAGAACATTCATTTCTGCAAGAGCCATTTGGTCTCCTTGTGTACTCTGATCACAGATTCCACTGAGTCCAGCCACACAGTGATCCAGCAACAGCTAGGAGGCTCTTTACATAGCTGGGGGCCTGTCCCTTCAGCCTGCTGCAGGGTTGGTAATATTCCACATGTCCCTTGGCAGCTCAGGGCTGAAGGGCTATACCATTCCCCTAATATTGATCCATAAAGCTATAAAATTGCCTTATTATCAGTGAAGAAAAACCAAGACAATTATTACTGAAATAAAAAAAGTGCTTGTTAGATATTTCATCAAGGCATGCCTTTACAGGAACATATACCTGAGGTTTTTTGAGATGATGAATTTTACAAAAAACAAAAACTCATGCTGATGTCTGTGTATTAAATATAAGCAAAAATACTACCTTAAAAATAACAGTATTTAATTACCACTGGCTGCAAGTGTCAAAATTGTGCCTGGTTACAAGTTTTTTATGTGTAGCAACTAAATTGAAGCTTTGCTTCTAAAACAACAGTCATATCCTCCAGGAACTCTCACATAGCCTGACAGAGAATGTATTTCTAGTCACAATGGTGTCCACAGTACCTCCAGTTTATCAGTCCTGAGGAGTTTCTGGGTAGCAGTTGAACTGGGGACTGAAACCGGTGGACTTCCAGGAACAATGACAGGCGGCGTGGGTAGGATCTCAGTCGGGACTAAGCCAACTCCTGGTGTTACTGGCGTTAGGTAAGGAGCAAAGCTAATAGCCGTGTTCGTTCCTATTGTGGGACCCACTGGAAATGTGGGCTGAAAAAGGAAAACACACACCAAGATGAAAAAAAAAGCCCCTTAATCAACAGCATACTAGTTATCTTTTGCTTGCTGTTCTTTCTGGCACCGATTCATTTTCTTAATGAAAAAACTTCAAACAGCTGGCAAAACACACAGCATCCTCTCTTCTTTTAATCACGTAACACATTCCAGCAGCACACGAAGAACCACCTTTGTAACTCCATTATTGGAAAAGAGTCTACTGATGCAAAGGAAGTCCTACTTTGAACCTGAATCTGTGTGGAGGTCCAGCTTACATTGCAGGCTTATTTACACATCTAAATGTAGAAATAACACAGACTTTATTACTTTTTCTCAGTACCTGTTTTCCTTGGGAAAACAGGCTGTTTTTTGAAGTATTCAGATTTCATAGCTGAAGCATTATTAACTATATTAAAGCCATATTTCTAATAAGAGTACATATAATGAGTTCTTTGGCATGTAACTTCCAGTATGTTTGTGTACTGTATTTTGCCACCTCCTGCAATTATATGTTACTGTGTCTCATACACTGAGAAAACTCACCTTCGCAAACGTTTGTGTGCTCAGCTGTCACCAGTGGCAAGGAAAATAAATATTGTAGTCTCAGCTGGACACAATATTTAGAATGGGATTATTCAGGCTTAGATTAGTTCATCATATGAAAAACTTTGATTGGAGGGAACGATACAGGCCTAAAAATCTTGTTTTGTTCCTTCCTACAGTGAGTCAGTGAAGTCATGACCAGAAGAAAGAGCATTTGTGTGATGCTAAAACAGCCGTGATGAGGCAGAATAGTGGGTTTGTTACCACTAGCTCCACGGGGGTGGAGGCAGAACATCACCATTGTCAGCCCATGCTCAGACCTGGAAAGTGCTTTAGTTCTGCAGAGCTGAATACTCCAGAGAGTGAAGCTATAATAATAAACGAGGAAAAACTACAGGACACATCTCCGATTAGCTTTGTCATAAATGAGGCTCCCATATAAGCCAGCAGCTGGAAACACAACAGCACAACACTTAAACTTCAAAACACTCTAACAAAGGGGAAGTGTCTTTCTCATTAAGGTGGCCTGCATGACATATAGTAGGCAGAAAATACGCAAGAGAAAACACAGGAGCTAAAAGGCAGGTCTTTTTCTTTTTTGTTTGCGTTTGGTTTACTCTAGATATTTTTGTCTTTGGAACCAATTACTAAATTATAAATGGATGTGACTTTGTACCAGTAAGATGCTCTGAGCATACAGATTAACCAGGAAAACCAACTATACAGAAATGGCATCTAACTCCCCTTATGTGCATTATGCTGTGCTTTAATCAGTGATCAAATCTGCTTGATATCAAGCAACCCAGTTTATGTCAAACATGAGCTAAATTCTGAAGAGCATAATAATGAACATTTATATGAAACAATGGTTCGACTATGTTGAAGACAATCCATGTTATGTGAAATATAAATAACAGCTTTGTGTCAGATATGATTTTAAGAATAAATCCACTCGTCAAATGACTTCTATGAAATTTTCTTTCACTTTTTATCCATTTGGTCAAGGCTGAATCATCTTAATCTGGCAATTTATGTGAGACAGGCCTGGCATTTTTATCACAGCAATCAGTACAGAAGACATTACGTCAACGAAATTGTAAAGTTCAAATGATGAAATGGATGAAAAGAAAAAAGTATAATTTTGCCACTTCAATTTTGCTCATAATATTAAGCAGTGGAATCTATTACTTCATCAAAACTTTTTCTGATGAAAACTCAAGGAGTAAATCCCCAGGAAATACCAAGACACCTTAGGAGGCCAACATCACCAGATACAATTTGATGAACGTGTACCAGAAATTCAGGGAGTCCTGACACTTAATTCCCAATCCCACTTGACAGTAGATGTTCCAAGTATAAAAAGGCATTATTGAAAAAGGCATCTAGGGTGAGCTTCCTGTGACCAAATGCAGATGTCTTCTTCTGAGATACCTACACTTCACTTCTGTGGTAGCCCATGGAAAGACAAAGGCACTCTGAAAACGGAATCATCTAATCCAAATGCTGATGCCTGGAACAAGCCAAGCAAATAGTAATTAGTTTATCAAAAGACATAGGCACGCCTATAAATGGACCTTGGAAACTCATTGCAGAAGTTCATGCTAACACTCCAGGTGCCTCATGTTAGAGAAAAAAAAATCCCACTCCAGTGGGATGCCTTACACTAGGAATTTAGATTGAAAAAACATCATTAGCAGCCATGTATGAAAAGTCTAATTCAGATTACTTGCCAAACTTCCAGTGCTTTGGAAGTCTGCTACACTGAGGAGCCCAACTGCAAAGGCTGTCCAGAGCAACTGATCACTTTAGTGCATATCCAAAGATGCTGCTTATGCATGCCAGACTCTAGTTCTATATCACCTCCTGGATACAAAGTGTCTCAGGCACCATATGAATCACCTTGAGACAAAACACTGAGTTTGTGAAGAGCAGGCACGACCAATTCTCTGTCTTATCCTCAGACACTTCAACAGAGTAAGAAAATGCTACCCATTAAGATTTGTCTCCGGTACTGGGATTAAATAATATTTAAAGCCATTCAAAGCCATAGACTCCTGAGAAACTTTGTGTTCCTACTCAAATTTCTTACTAGCAAATTATTGTTATTATAAAAATTTTCACCTCCAGAAGGATTATAGGTAAAAATCTTGCAGACGTGACATGAAATGCCTTAAGGGGATTGGGGGGGGGAGGAGGAGGAGAGGAAAAAAATGCAAATTATGATGGAATAAAAGAAAAATGAATCAAGTCTACAGCAGCACTCCATTACATTTTGAAATGCAACTATAAATGAACATATCTTTAGCATCTTGACCATTCCTTAAGTAAACAGACAGGGACTATTTTTACTGATACTATTTAGAGAACTTTTGCAGGTCAATGGAGTCTTCAACTTTACTTACCATTAAGACCATCAGAGAAATATACTTACCACTGGCTGTAGTGGTGTCCCTGGAAACATGAACTGCATTTGCTGGGCGAGCATTGCTGCTGCAGTTTTTTGTTGGATTAAGTTGTTCCTGCCATTGATTTCCAGTTGAGTTTTTAAATGTGTTGGTGGATGAAGGTACTTGCAGTTCTCCCTTGTACAACGACCCTGGAAAAAGAAGTCACACTAATCAGTCGGCTGCTTTTGATGATAGTTCAATGCCTTTGAGCAAAATATTACATCATAAACTGAGCAAGAACTAATGAAACACAGAGTGTTTGCTGGGAACTATGTAGAGGACTGGGAGGAGCTGATGGCCTTGAGCTCTGCCTCAGCCCATCAGCTCTGATTGATCATTAAGGCTATTAGCCACAGGGAAAAAAAGAGAGAAAGGCTGTAAATCAGCGTTTTCATTGTTAAGTACACATCACTGCCATACAATTAATAAACTCAGAACTGTCCAGACAGCCTGAACTGCCTCTCAGGACATCCTGGCTAGAGTATCTGGTGTTACCGTAACATAATTTTTTTTTATTACATGACATCACATGATGAATAACAAATTGAAACCTTCTTTAAGAGAAATGCAGCTTATAAGTACATCACATTAAAATAATTGTATGATCATGGCAGTGAGGATCTAAAGTTGCCACTCTCTGCTTGTGTTCTCTCATACATTCACCCGTATTCCAGTTCACTGCCTTCCAGCCTCCTGTTTTTATTACATCAGCACAACTTTGAACTATTTCCATTCAAGTATAAAAGAAGTAAAGGTGGTACTTTTACAGCCTAAATTTAGAAGCAGTGCATGGATCTAAATCTGAAGGTACACAGAAAAAGCACAGGAGGAGTTTTTAGATAGTTATGAGATAATTAGAGACCATAAAAATATAGGTGGGCTGTCATTTTGAGATGGCTTGGGTTAGAGGAGATGGATGTACAAGCTGACCCCAAACATAGGCAGAGCGGTGGAAGACACAGTGATGTATTTTACCCCAGAAAGGGAAATTGTAGAGTGCACCAGGAGGTTGTGCAGCTGCAGGGCAGGACCTGCAGAGATCAGAAGCTCCTTGATGACATGGCTCACAAACAATCACAGAATTTTAAGAGCTGCAACTAGAGGACCTAAAGCATTAGTCAAACCACATTGGATACACTCTACTTGTATAAGTTGTTTCTAAATTGAGATGTTTCTAAGAAGTGCTTTTTAAACTTCCCATTCACCAGTGTTAGGGCTTTACTATTTGTAGACAAGCAGGAATATCCTTCTACAGTCAAGAAAGCATCCAGATCCCTAGGCAGGAATATCACACAGTACAGACATACACTGACTCCATATATGTACACACATACACACACTGCTACAAAACTTTCAACAGGCTTCAAATGTCCCAAAACTAGTGCCATTGTTACACTTTTGACTTAGACACCGAAACAGTGCAGATTCTGCCTCTAATTTGCTACAAGGATGTCATAACTAGCTGTTTAGGGGTGAGTTAAACATGAAGTTTCTCCTGTGTTGAGGCTGATGGGAATAAAAACAGCTATTTCCACACTATTAAATTATTGAGAACAGCCCCTTCCTGAGCTGCCCCTGGCTACTGCGGTGAGTATGATAAACAGCAGAAGCCAGAAAATGCGAGAAAGATAAAAAGTTAAGAAAATCAATGGTCTCAATACTTAGGAACCATAGTCTCAGTGCTGTTTTCACCACCTAGTACAGATGCAGCCACTTTCAGGACATCATGACTTCCTTCTGTTGAGAGAATCACTAATGCTGCCTGATTTAATGAATTACACAAAAAGAACATTTACTTTGTCAGCTGGCGTGAGCAGAACCAGAAATAGCCATGATCTGATGGACACAAAAGAAAGCTGGCTCTTTCATTTGGGGGGAATGTGGCCTTTACCATCATAATGCTGAACTGGAGCAGATTCAGCACAGACAATGAGCATATGGTTTTCTTCTTGGCTGATGAGGCCAACTGATTTAGACATTTTCAACTAAGATCTATTTTACCTTAGCCTATTTGCCTATGGCAAATCTAAAAATTAAAACAGCAAAATCATATCAACCTACTGAATCTGATGGAAATATCAACATATGGAATCAAACATGTTCCTTAAACAAGGCCTGAGAGCAACTCTCATGCATAGTGGCTTCTGAAATACCTTAATCCTGAAGAGCGCCTTCAGCTAGACCTCCAGTCTTACCTTTGAAAGCACACAGCTACTGTATACCATCACTTCAAGCTCTGCAAAGCAACCCACAGTGCACAAAAGATTGGTTATTTCTGAAAACTTTCAGAAATAATCCAACCATACAAAAATGTACTGTCTGCTCTGAAGTAATTCATGTCTGTGCATCATTTACTAGTTTTATGAGCTCCTGGTTAGCAATGAACGTGTGTACTATAAAAGAGCTGTGTGGTCCTGCCATGCTGCTATAGAAAGCCCTCCAAACAGATCAAGCCTTGTTGAAATTAAATGACCCAAAGTAAACTGCAGTGGAATGAGCACTGAAAATAGTGAGCAAATTAATCTACCCTCACTACCAAAATTAAATAAATTCTGAGATCGGCTTTTTTACTTGTTGGACCTACAATGGTAGCAAGAAAACATCTTTGAGGAATTTTTCATTCCTTTTTTCCCAAATGCTCCATTTCCCAAGTACTAATCACTGCACAAACAAAAATTCAAACTTATAATATCATTTCAGTCAAATGAAATTAAATTGACCCTGAAATTTTTTTGATTACTAAAATGTCAAATATGAAGTACAACTGACATGGTAGCACGTATCACCCAAAAAGCAGAACAGGCAACTGTACACAACATGCAGGCACATTCAATGTATTGGCTGGGTCACCATCAATGAGATCACTTTGTAAAAAACTACTATGTTAGAAGGCCACATCATCACAAATTCAGAGACAAAATCAGGTACTTTAACTTGCAGGTGCATCAATATCAAGCCTCCAGAGCGAGGTTTGCTTCATCTTAAAACCACAGCAGTTTAGGAGCTGTTCCCCAGACACTCAGTCCCTTTGGCACAGGATGGCACAAACTCGGCAGGATAAGGCAGGGGGCAGGGAAAAATAATTGCTTCTTGCAACTTTTAACCTGTTCCCAGATATGAGTCAGAGTCCTGAAACTGAGGGCACAGACAGATTGGTTTGAAACTGGGTCCCTAGAAACTCCTGTCACCCATGAAGTGAAGGTTATCAACAAGCACATCATAAGCAGTTGCTCACTTCTCATGGGAGTTCATGCAAAAAAATCACTTTCAGTGAGCTGTCTCCTTATCTGCAATGGATAGGAACAATGAACAGATATCAGACTGCACTTCCAACAGCCTGTTACTCTCTTTATCCTGGAAGGATGGTACCTAACTCTGACCTTTTATTTCTTTGCCTTTTTCCTCTACAGCTGTCCAGCCTACTGCCCAGCACCACATTTCAGGCAGGCAATGGAAAGTTTTAACAGAAAATCTACTTTTCTACTGCTAATTATCTGGACTCGTGTGGCTCGTGTCAGGCTGTCCCACAGGTTTCAATCCACTAAAGCAGTGGGAGAGAAGGGAAAGGGTGCATCGAGGAGCTGGGAACTCAAAGAACTTCAGTGCCCAATACCAGGGCACAGCAAAGAGAGGTTCTACTTCTGCAGGGGCAATGGTCTTAGGAGCTGCCACCTGACTGGCTTAATTTCAAAAACACACCCCTTCACAAGCCATGTCGCACCATTGGCTTTTTTTTTAAAACAACAGATTTTCCCATTAAGAACAATAGGTAGTTTGTCTAAGATCAATGCCACAAGACAGCCTATAGACTAGAGTATATTAAAAAGCTAGATATGTGCTTAGAATTTTAAATTTAAAATAAGCAAAATGAGGTGAATATAGAAGTAACACCCCACAACTTTGCATAACACACTAAGGATCCATTTCTTGTTTTTGAATATTTCATAAATTCACAACCTCTTTCAGTATTTTACTCTTGCTCTAATAGTAACAATAACAATAATTAATTCAAGCCTGAGAATTGTTTATGTATAATAATGAGCTTGTTTTACTTATTAAAATTGTCTTCCATACAAGTAAGATGTTTGAACAGAAAAGTAAAATGCAAAACAATGTGCCTGCTATCTCTTAAGGCAAGTATCAACTAAAGCTTCAAGAATTATTTTGCCCAGGTATGGAATTTCAGGCAATTTATCGATGCTATTAGTGGGAAATAACAGAGCATGACTCGCCCAACTCACAGCATAGCCTAACATCTGGCACATCTTTAAAAAACAGGCTATCCAATGAGAAGCAGAAAGAAGGAGGCCTGCTGCCTTGCTGTCCTTTGTTCCAAACCTCACTCCCCAGGGTGCTTCCAGCTCCCCCTACTCAACTCTGTTCTCTGTAAACTCCCAGCTTCCTACTGCAGCCCACCTCCCTCCTTGTTTCTCCCCCGGAGCACCCTCCCACCTCTCCTAACTATAGCCCAGGGAAGGACTCCCGGGATAATTATAACTCTCTGGAGCCGTGCGTGTCCTGAGGAGCCGGCCAAGACGAGCACGCTGCTGGCAGATCACACTCGGGAGCGGCTTAGTGCCCGCTCCTGCCTTTTCCTTAATAGGGTAAAACTTTGGATCTCTCTGCTACCCAGACACTGCTTTTTGCATAACCACTAAGAACTTTGAGATGTGTCTTTGAGATGTCTGCTTCTAGCAACTTTGCTTGAAATTGGCTACATTTTTCAGAAGTTATTAGGGTGAGAGGATGACGCTGGCAAAAATATGGACAGTGCATTTATGCAAAATCTGTTTCATTAAGAAAACAAGCTCAACCTAAAATGCAGATGAAATTGTATGAGCTCTCAAGATTGAATATGCAGTCTAATGGGAAAAGAAGAAAAGTATATAACTTCCAAGACATAAATGGTTTTAGAAGGCACCTGAGCAACTGGTTCTACAAGGGAAAAAAAAGATATTCGGGTTTCCAGATAGACACTATGAGATCTAAACATTTACTAGAGTTAGAAAAGACACACAACAATTTTTAAAAAGTAATAATCACCTGATGCCACAACTATTCCTCCCACTCGAAAAAAACTTTTGCAATTTTCTGCATGCCTTGCACATGCTTGTAAAGATCAGGACACATTTTAAAACAGTAATGCCCC